GTTTTACCTCAGCCATAGTAGGAGAGGAGCACCAGGCGGATGAGAGAAAAAGCTGGACTGGGCTAAAAATTGAACATTCAGTCGACTCGTCCTTTTCGGTACCTCCTTTTCTCCGGAGGCTTAGTGTGACAGAAAAACAAACTGTATTTCCTTGGCTGATCGTTGTCAGTACCATTATGGGCTCCTATAAGGAGTCGGTTACCCCTCTTTTTCATTCGTTTTCTTACAGGTGTTGTCTTCAGTGGTTCTCAGCGCCTGGGCTATAGGCAATATGAAGCTCACAACTTTCACTATCTATTGTTCTGTCAGTACTAACGAAACGGCCGAACGGATCACAACGCTATGCTTTATTTTATGTTTTATTGACATAATGTCGTTGGCAGGAACAGCAATTTTACGTATAACCAATGTTACTGCTATGAAACAGTGAGTTGGATCTCTGAATCGTTCTTTATAATCGAACCTGTTCCCTACTCGAAAAAATCGGGGTGGAAGCGAGTTACCTACGGATAAATGCTTTTCTTGAGTGGCCCCCCTGGTAGGGCATTACCACCATTTTTAGAATCCCAAAACACTGTAAAAGTTATGAATTTATTGTCATGAACACCCACCCTACCTAGAAGATTTAAAAAATACTTCAAGAGCAGGTGGGAATTGATAGTGAACCTTATCTCAGTAGTTCCACTCCTCATTTTTCTATCGGCCCCTAACGCTTGTAAGCCATCAACTGCTATGATTATGGTCCACGGGATGGAGCACCCCTGAATCAAAGGGTAGACCAAAGCCTAGCTACATACGGGACGATGTTGGGGAAAACTCAGCCGAAGGATGGAAAAACACTTCAATTAATAGTGAGCAGTGCATTTTCCACTAAATAGTGCTAAATAAACAATGAAGAAGTGAATAAAACAATAAATAATAAATATGTAGTAATGGTGACAAAAATGATGTATAGTATTTTAGGAAATTTTCGGATCTGCAATCTGCTTATCAACTGCGGGAGAACGATTCCGTCCTCCGACTTCTCTTACCGCTGATCCTTTTCAATGGATTGTGCCATTTGGCATTTTCAGGATCTTCCGCATTGTTATTGATATTCAGAACACATTTTTCATATGTAAGCTACAGAACCCTGTTTGCTGCAGGCTATGTGAGTTTTGTTTTGCAATTTCAAGGGCTGTTCACTGATAATCATTGTTTACTGCTTGTTCTGTTGTGAGTTACTGATCGAAAACAAAATGCGCACTAGATTCATCGTTGTTTCACAACGCGACCACTTCGGGGTGTGTACATCAGAGAAGCCAGTTGCAAAGCCTTTTCAACACCCTATAAATGTCGTTTTCGGACTTGGCGATGCCCCTAACCTCCGAGCCACGTGTTCATTCTCAGAAGAAGTCTCAAAAACCATTTTTATCGTGAACTGTACCTTCAAAGGATAATTTGGCAGAATTAATTTAATTTTTCCAGACAGTACCGTACTTTACATTGGTGTCTCCAATTCTATTATGGTTTATCATCAATAAGTCGAGGCAAACCCGTGTGACGAAACTCAAGTCGCTTGGGAAACAGACAGTTAATGAAAGGGAGCTGTATTTCAACGCCTACAGTCAACTGTGGAACGACAGTCAAGTTTCGCGAATGTATTAGTTTTGTGATGATGGTAGTATTGACAATAAATGTTATAATTTTAAGGGGATTTCTTCCCACTTGACATCCAATCCAAAACTCTTTCAGCTGTGAACATGACATTTCTCTCCTACAGTTGAGATCAAACAATTCTCAAACAACTTTGATTTGAGTAAGTAGAGCCCAGTTTTTCAATGATTAGCACCTAAAAACAGCTATGAGTGAGCAACTGTTCCCAACTCGTATTAGCTTCTTCTTGATGGCTTTTTCAAAAAACTGATTACGCAGATTTGTTGGATTTGACGGTGAAATGCTCATCAGGGGTAATCAACCGAAAGAGCTCCTTGACAAACAATTTTGTAGGCCATTTTCTCCAGTGACGTGAAAAAAAGAAGATAACTTTTACGCTTCGTTCGCTTTTCGCCGTATTTCTTCTGTCTGTATGTAAGCTAATTGAATTTGACGGATCGAAACAAAGCAGCCTGTACACCTAAAAGATTTATTCAAATGACAAAAAATTCCTCATACGAACTGTTACGTTATTGGACGAGTTCGTTGGGAAATATGTTCTTGGACTATGGTATCGCTGTTAGGTTGGAACAGAAGGTGGTGCTCCGATTCTGCCATTGAGCTTACAATGAGGTCGCCGCGCATGATAGGTGCCGTTGTTTGGCTCAACATCGAAATGTGGAAGGACCTGCACTGTTGTGGTTGCTAGACTGATCTGCCTTCTGTTGTTTCTAAAACAATCTTTTCCTGTACTGAACCGCCTCTGAACCATAAGGAAATGTAGTTTTGAAATCGCAGAGTGGTTCAACCCGCGGAGCGATCTCACTTTCTCCCAAAGGAATCGAAGATATCCCAAAAGGAAGGCACCAATTGCACGAATATGAACAGTGTCTCGAACTAATAAATAAAACAGAAATTTATGCATATACCATGAATTATGGTATAAAACCCGATTAGCTGAGCCAAGAAGGAGATAGTACTGCTGCAAATACAGCACCAGGAGAAGCTATGATAGGCGAAAGGACGTAAGGTGTCAGTACGAAAGCAGAAACCGCTGGAGGAGAGAGTATGAGTGGTGAAAGGACGAATGGAGAGAGAATTAGGGGCGACAACACATTTGGAACAATGATAAAAGGTGATAAACAAAAGGGAGTCAAAATGAGGGGTGATAAGACTACTGGATTAATGATAAAAGGTGTAAGTACAAAAGGACTAAGAACGAAAGGAACAAGTGCTCCAGGGGAGAGTACAAGAGGATGAAGAGCAAGAGGAGAAAGTATGACGGGTGAAAGCAGAATGGGAGAGACAATAATAGGAGACATAATACGAGGTGCGAGTATTACTGGAACAAATGCCCATGGAGAAAGGATGACAGCACCGAAAATTGCAGGAGAAAGTACTATAGGAACAAAGAGAATTGGTGACAGTACAATAGGTTGTGAAGCAACTGCTGGAGCAAGAACAACCGAAACCAATACCAAAGGTGATAACACTACATCATTTTGTCGTTGTGCTCTAAATGCCACCACCTCATCAGCCAAATTCCTTATAGTATTCTCTATGAGATGAGGAATTTCAGCTGCAGGAACATTACGAAGCTGCTCTAAGGTGGTGGCATTAGCATACGGTGAACCAGGACCGTAAACCAGTTCCAACTGCTTATCGTCCATCACGGTGTATCCAGTTGTGTTCATAGCTTTCATCTGGAAAAATTGGGCAGCACAATTTACTGGCGGGAGAAAAAGGTGAACAAATCGTACCTGATCCGAAGTGAACGTTTTTTGCAACTTCTCAAAGACTTCGATTTTGCTCCGTTCTGTATTGCCGAGCATTTCTGTTACATTCTCCTTTGTAAAGTAAAGCGGTTGACCATGTTCATTTTTGAGCCCCTCATCCAGTCGGGGGCTGTCTTCGGCTTCACTCACATCCTGTATCGAGACATAATGGTTTAGATCTAACTGAACACTCAAGATGGCAAATACTGGCAGCTTCACTCCTTCAATTGCTGGAATAGAACGACTGTGAAGCCGCTAACACCCTTCTTACAAAACCATCACATCGAATCAAATTTTGGAAACAGAACTGGGAACCTAATCAACCTAATTCGGCTTCCATCTGGCCACGGGAGAGGGTTGTGCTTACGACTTCCCTACATTGCAGAAGGCGATAGCTAACGAAAAGAAAGTTCAGCTGATCAAACTCTATCCCATTTAGGAAGGGACCCTCAGAGCCGAATAAAATTCCAGAAAATGAGGCCTAGAAATGGGAGGGTAGCTGTATGTAGTACTCTATTGTCAGCGTCTTCGTCCATGAGATCACATGATGAAATAGCAACCCACCCGTATTTTCGAAACAGCATCCGAGACCCCAGACGCTTCAATAACGAAGTTCAACCATTCTTCATGCCCTTGTTCATCGAAGTGTTTGATAGCTTTTGCCAAACTAAATGCATCTTCTACTCCACGACCTTCATCATGTAATGCCAGTAGAGACGGTGAAAGAAGATCGATCTGCAAATCGTATTGATCCGTATCGATTGTGTCGTGCTGAGTAACAAAAAATATAAGAAAACCCACAACTTCATTATCAATTTCTTCGGGAACTAGGGAGAAAAGTCTAGGAGAAATCAGCTTGATATTTTTATTGTCGAAGTTGGAGACATTTTGACCAGATAGCATCATTCCAAGCTTGAGTCCTGCAAATCGAAGTCGTTCGACAAAGCAGAACAGATGGTATAGGCGCCTAAGGAATAACTGAAAGTGAAACTGCTCATGGATTCCCAATTTCACTCTTTCGTAGGGAACATTTAGGAAAATATCGCACACTCTACTCCTCTGATTAAAGGCACAGTCACGATAATTTTGGGTAAACCAGATTACGATGAAAATGGAAGATAAGTTGGAAAATAGTGCAATGAAGGCGAAGGAACTGCGTGAATAGGTATTTCCAAAGTTAAAGAGGCCTCGAAAAATTGTTAAAAAGGGGGTTGAATGAGTATGCGACAGGAAAATGAAGAAGAATGGGACATTTGGGCGAGCTCTACAATATGCGTCATTTCTACGTGTGGGTCCTGGTGCGGATTACGGTAGGCAAAAATTCATTCAACATAGGCATAGTTTAACAAAAAAAACCCGCAGGAACCGCAGAATTAGCCCACCTTTCTCAGCCTCTTGAGGTAAAAAGTTAGAATAAGGATCGCAGTAACAGGAAGAATAACAGAGAATAAAGGAATGGGAGAAAACATCGCCTCATCACTTAGAGATCAGCTGATTGTGTGTGGGTCCTGGAGCGAATATTGCAATCTGTATCGCCTTGCCACTAGTCTGGCGTGACATCGATCGAGGGATAGGAAGTGTGTGCGATTGGTAAGGGGACTCCCACTATGCCGTAGCTGTTGAGTTTTGGGACTCCACAGCGTCCTTTCTGTTACCCTTGGAGGCCAATGGGTATTTCTGAGGAGAGAACTCAGAAATTGTTTTTGTCGTCAACTGTGCCTTTAAATGTGCAGCGGTATACTCAGAGAAGTTCCACTCTATTTACCGGCTTTAGGACTTTTGGTACCTGAAGGAAGTTGGAGGAAATGAGCACCAGCTACAAATACTGGCATACTATAAATCTTTTTCTCTTTGCGCTTCAAATGTAATGCGAAAAACCGGCGCATCCCATCAAATCCTTTAGTGAAAATGGTTTCTTTTGATAAACTCAACATGATTGCTTTGGAGTTCGTAAAAGCACGAGGACGTTTAGGGTAGCCATTAGCGTTTAGCCCGTCAACATCACAAACCTTGCCTGATCAGTTTCATTGGAGCTTGCATCAAGGTCTCTTCATCCGTTAGCTTGCTTTCCTGCTCCTTGGCTTTCATCAATAGCTCCTCCATTTCATCGTCATCGTCGTCCTCCCCAAGTACATTCATTTTCTAAAAGCATTTCTTGTAGCAGTCATCTCTTTTGATCCATTTTAGAGAATTTCAGAGAATTCTATGGACAAAGAATTTTAAAAATGCCCTAAAAATCTTGTTGAATCTCTTGATTCACAAGGTTCACAAGTTGTAGGTAAAGCAGTGTTTTCGCTTGCTCCGTTTTAGCGGTTTTTATGAAGTAGCGTACTCAGGTTTGAGCCCAGCCGAGGTCGAAATTTTGCCCTAACTCGCCCAACTCAAGAGACTTTTGGAATCAAGACCTTTTGCATTAATTTAGTGTTCATTTTCTATTTTGTATTAATCTGGGGTCACTTCCCTTCTACTTCAGGTTAGATTACTCTTGGGAAGACGTAGATATTCGCCTTGGAGGATTTTGAAAAGGTGTAAACTCTGATATTCTTAATACAAATCGAGAGCTTCGTACTACTGTGGGTTTCCAGTCTCAGGTACATGGTTGACAATGCTTCAAAAAAGAGTCCCCGAAAGATCCCGTAGAGGTAATAGAAATCTGGGACGGTTTCAAGTATTCTTACAGCGAATTCGCCAATTTCTCCTAGGGGCGAAGTAACGTGAAGCATGTGGTTGAGCCGGATGTCATTTGGATGGGATTCAGAAAGAAAATGAACTTACTTTCATAATCGAACGTTGATCTACGCCCTCATCTCGTAAAGTTTTCTTGAACAACTCGAGTCTTTCGTTAAGCATTTTTCTCGCTTTTCGTTTCTCCTTCAGTTTCTTGCCCTCTTCGCGAATCTCGCTTATCACGCTCTGCCACCTAAGTAAAGAGAAGTTTTTAATTCTTTAAAGAACTTGTGAAATTGATACAAAACAATCCTGTTCACTTACCTCTTGTAATTCTTATCCTTATTTTTTAATAGGCGTACCGTATGAACAAGTTTCTGTGCAAGTACACCCAGAAATGACATTTTGTGCTCTGAATTAAGCAAAATAAATGTACCATTGGTCCTGCATGCATTGTATACTAATTTAGTACTTGTAATTATATATATAAATCTTTTCTATCAGATCTCGGAGAATGAAAGGAACCTTTCTCAAGAGTGTAGTGATCCATTTGCACCGGTTTTGGCAACGGTTTCAGCCTCTCATCAAGAGATCGTTTCGCTCTCATTCTAAACGAGCCCACCCAGCCGTCACTGTTTAGGATGTACTCTTTGTCTGGTGGAGGTGATGTCTAAACAAGTGGAACTTGCTTGTTGTGTCGAGGATAAAGTAGTTCTGCTAACTTTTCGACAAGTGGTCTTATTTGCAATAGATTTCAATGCAAAATGTAGAAAATTTACAAAAATTCGTTTGAGACAAAGTGTTTCCCAAGTGACAGTAATGTCAAAGATAAAAAGATTTAACAAGACTTCTTAGACAAGCAAACGGGATTCGTCTTGAAATTCGATAGTATCAATCGAGCTTACCTTGATGGGATTACGATGAACGTGAGGTTGCTTCTTCATTGATTGATTAACTTTCCTTCGCCTCGATTCATCGTTGAGTTTTCGAACTTTGACTCGTCCCCCTTTAGTTCGGGGCTGTTTCCTTCTTCTAATAAATTTCCGAAATTTTCTGTGCTTGAATCCTGAATTATGAGGAGAGCTCGTAATTGAATGGATCGATGTAGAGGTGATATTTAGAAAGAACAAAAAATAATTCGAGGTTCCTCAGATTGAGGATTTTTCGTCCCACCATCTCAAAACTGCCCTGTCACTAGCTTGTAGTGAAAGTGATTAATTCCGTGAATGCTCGTAGGAATATCAAACAATTAATATCGAACCAATCCTTTTCGCTTTCCCATATCGATTTTTCCACATCTGATATTTGCGCTCTATATCAATCAGTTGCACCACACATTTCGCATGGGCCGTCACGGTAGTGGCCCCTTTGGCACAGGTTTGATGTGCAGCTCTCTGAGATTCCGGTACATTTTCCAACCTGGAATCGATTTACCCTGTAGTCATTTTTGAAAATCAGGTCAAAAATAACCGTACTTCTTAGTTGCCACAGTGGCTATAAGCCCCGAAACCGCCTGGTCTAGCCAGTGCTGGTAAAGTTCGATTCCTCCCTCGGTGGATATAGAGATCGTAGTCTTTTTGCCGTCATAATGTGCTGTGTTTACTTTCGACGATTCATCGCTATCATCGACGTCTGCGACATCTTCGTCTGTTATCACATCATCCTAAATCTTACTCTTGAATAAAGCTCTAATATTACTAATTGTAAGTGATAAAATAAACTCGGAATGGTCACTGCGACAGATAGGTACAAAATGTACTACTCTGAAATTTCGTCTTGGAAATGGGTGGTTTTCCCGGTAATAACGTCATTCATTGTGCAACGTATGAAGTGAAACTTGAAGAGTTCATGGATATTCTAGATAATTCAAGGACAAAAGATGAATTCCTGGTAGTGACCAATCCCGTCTTTGCGATGCGCTCCGCATTCGACTTACAATCAGAATCATAGTGATGTATTGAATATGAACTTGGCCTGTGCAATGGCCTGCTGTAGCCAGCTGATGCACAAGCTAGTGCTTTAATTCTCCCACACAAGTCCGGCACCGATTACCGGAGGAATGCAAGGCTTATTGGATCTAAGCAGATGTCGCTTCGAAGCGTATGTGATAGTGCGATTCTTGGCCCTAGTCCCCCTTTGAACTCTCGTTAAATCAAACTATTATGGACAGTTAATCGTTTCAAAAAGAATTCGTTTTTTNTTTTTTGGTTGCGGTGCTAGTCAACACGATGGTAATATGAGAGCGTATTAATTGTGTTGCGTGGTAGGTTAGAGAAGGAAAATTGCTCACGAAATCAGGTTAGCGAAATGCGTTGGCCGGAAATTATGACGAAGATAAAAGCAAGAAGGCACTGGGAGTTCATACTAATGGAATGATCGATAATAATCGATACATGCTACTGCAAGGGTATAAAATAAACACAGCTGAACTTCACGGTAATTCAAGTTCTAAATCATTTTCTAGGGCTAAAGAGCCTTGAATAAAACAAAATTCTACAGTCTTCTCTTTCCCTCACATGGCCCGATCGAAAGGGATGACACTCGAAAAATCCAAGTTTCGTTCACCCCCAAAGATAACAAAATCAAAAAAAAAGTAAAATTCTATTTGACTGACATTCTTCTAAAAAGATTTCAGTTTTCGATGAGAAGAAGATCCTGAAAGTGGTAAAAAATGTAAAAATGTAAATTGTAAAAACCTCTGTGGAATTTCTCCTCTGTTCTTCTCTCTTGAGGGCGGTCTCATTGATAAATGGTTTCAAGGCGTTCGGAATATCATCTAACCGGAGCATAAGTTTCGTACTATTTCTCTCCTTGGGAAACGGAAGTCGTATGAGATTCTTCGTGAAAGGGAACGACCTCTTTTCATGGATATTCATAGATGTGGTACTACACATGAGTACCGTTACTGAAAAAGAAAACTACATCAGTATCAAGAGGAGTCACAACTGAATGTCCAAGCATTATTTTTATTAGATTCACCTGTTGATAGAAGTAGACGTATCCAAACCATGGGATGTTCCCTCCCCAACGAAGGAGACGTCGCCTAATTAGAGCCACCACTGCTGACTCAATAAGAGGGGCAACGATCGGAGTGTCGTATGTGTAGTGGGTAGGTTTATTCAGGTGAGGTAATGTGTTGGGATTGGTGTTCGTAGAGGGATGGTATAATCGAATCATCACGAGTAAGAGGTCGAAACCGAGTGAACACCGCCAAATAAACATCTGCCCTACTATACGTCGTGATTTCACTTTTCAAACACTATTTCGACAAGAGAAATGCGGTTCGTTGTCGGACATTTCACTTTCTGTTGTGAACCGCTAGGGATGGCTTTCAAAATTGGAACTGTTAGTAGTTGGTCCTAAAGTAATCCCACATAATAGTAATCTTTATATAATTGTGAAGGTATCAACCATATTGATCTACTGCACAGTTATAGCCGAGCTTTATACATAACTGCAGATAAATAAAATTATATTTAAAGATAAGGTGGTATACTGGCAAGTGGCGCACCAACATTGATGCGTGGATCGGGGATCGACACTCGGATCTATTGTCGTCCGAGCCGACCAAGCCTCCCATCCCTCTGGGGTCGGCTAATTGGTAACATCTTTGTCAGGGAGAGGATACTTGTATTATATTTACATCGGCTGGTCACCGAACAGGGCGGAGGTGGTGTTGCAGTAAGTAGCGCACTATCACAAATGCATGGCCATGGTTCCAGTCCCAGATAGATGTCCGCCCAGATAAGCCAAGCCTTCCATCCCTCAAGGGTCGGTTAACTGGTACCAGACTCGTCTGAGAGGCTAAAATCGCTGGCTCGTACATCGGCTGGTCACCACAATTCATTCTATAGGCCAATACTCATTCAATACGTCGCTACAGTCCTGAGCAGAAGTCGTAAGCGGGAGCGCATCCCTCAAACGGAATTGATCAACGCCCAAAGATGTTATGCTGTAAATTTTTTCATCAAAACACAGACTGTTCACCAATTGAGACAATCAAATGGATACTCTAAAGCAAACAGCCGCTTTTTCCCAAGACCAAAGCATTTGACAGTCCATGTTTACTGCTTACACAATACATATGAGAGAGGAAGCGCAACCAAGTGAACCACCTTTTTGAGGAGAAAGAAAGGAATTCGATCTGACAGGCTCGAGTGGTCATCTCGTCGAAATCTAATTTATCTTCAAAGACTTGCAATTAGAGGAAGAGCACGTTTGCTTTCCACATTGAGGCGGAGATGTGAACGATGGAAAGTGTTGACTGCCTTCGAAGGAAGTTTAGGAGAGTAGACCAGCAAATGACTGGAATCATCATGATGATTTCATAGAGGTTCACCTTTGAACGCATTCTCGAGAGGGACGATTTCTTATTTTGGAAAAAAAAATTCGGATTCTATTAATATAAAACCAACAACCATTTCAAGACGCAAATTTTTCTTTTCCACAGTTTTATCGGATTTCATCGTCCATCCTAAAAACAATGTCTATCCTTCTTCTTTTCAACTTGATTGTTTGCACCGTTATGTTTCTTATTGAACAGGTGACTTTATCATAAGTATCTGCTGGCTGCTCGGATTGTTTCACCAACGTGTTTTTCTCTATAAATGGCAGTCTGACTATTTTCTTCATCTCCTTCGTGTCTGTTGCAATACCCGACAATTTTCTACAAGCACGTCAAGCAACCATTGGCAGCTAAGCTCATCAATGTTCATCTCGTCTCGCCATTGTGAGTAATCTAATTAGCAGTGAAACAAAGAGTTGTAATTATTACAAGCTAAATGCTAGTTTTTCCCTTGTTTCTCCCTCCTTCAATCCAGATTATTTATTTTGTTGACATCCATGGATAGGCTGTTACAACGACCGTCATCATTCCGGCTTTCTAAAGCAGCAAAAAAAATTCCACGTGAAGACAAACCATTGCAGGTCTTTCCTAAGGCACGGCAGAGCATGCTTTTCATTTGCTTTAGCTAGCTTATCGGAAATGGCCACTGGGAACCCTTTGACTTACTAATTTCTCATACTTTCCCACAGTGCTTAGTACCTAGGATAAGGGGTGAGGTGAATTAGTGGGCTATCACACCCGGATGGTCATGGGTTGAATTCTGGACCGATATCTGCTCAAGCCGACCAGCTTTCCAGCAC